AACTGCCACTCTTTTATAGCTGGGAGAAGAAGAGATAAAGAGCTGAAGTTGAGAATTCAGTCTTTTTTATTTGATAATGTCAGAAAGTCTGTTCCAGGGAGCTGTTCTGTGTCATTCTCAGCATTGGCACCAGCCTCCAGCACTGAGCCACACAGAGAAAAGTTGAACGTTTGCCTTGAGGAGAGTCCCTTGGCTTCCCTCTCCTCAGAGCATTAACACTGAAATTCACCCAGCCTGTAGAGTTGCTCTGGGAGCTCTTCAGATGAGAAAAGTTAAATGCCTCAGCACTTGCTCACTCAGTCACAGCAAAATGCTATCAGCATGTGTCACCACCTTCTGGTGTGGCCATTCAGCTGGTAGCCGCGTAGCTCCTCTAGCTATTGACAGGCTGTCTCTGCTCCTGAACTACTGTCTGCTGCTCCCAGCATGTTTCAGTGTGTTTAAGCTTATGCATTGCCAGTCTCTAGGTCTAGCACCTGGTTGTTTCCATGACAAAGTGATTTTTCACTCCTCATCCTCCCCACTCCTTGTCCTTACCACCGACACTGCAACTCTAGTTGAAGAGCTGTAGTCCCTCAGCTCTGGGGTCCGTGCTGTGGAATGACAAAGAATGGGAATGAATATTCTTTTTAAACACAACTTGGAGACAACCTTGAGGTGTACATTGCTCTTGAAAGTGCAGCTTTGCTCCTCCTTCAAGAGATCTCCCTTTTCTTGGCACTTGTTTTCCTCTGTCAGCACACTGGATCGGGATAGCATTAGGACTTGTGACTTATAGGAAGCAGCATTGTTATCTTTGTGGGATTTAGTTTAGTAGATGCATTTACAGTTCTCCAAATAAGGAAGAACCATGATATAGGTTGATGTATAAGGCCATTCTGCACCCATGAGATCACTTTGGACAGCCTTTACTTCCAGTTACTGCTGAGAAGTATCGGTCCCAAAGGAAAATGGACTTTCTTGGCATTCCTCATGCTCTTTCATTTCTTTCTCTGAGGTGTGTATCTTTATCTGGCAGTAACTCCATTCCATCATCTCAATTTCTGCTTCATTCTCAGACAGTAGTGATCTTAGGACTTCTCAGTTAGCCTGTCTAAAGCTTCTTAGGTCATCTTCAAGATGCTGATGGTATTTGAGAGGCAACACTCCTCAACCAAGGACTGTTACTTCCTTACTTTGATTTGGTTGTTTTAGGAGATTCTACAAAAGACCAGTCCTTGTAAACAGTGCAGTCCATCCTTGAATGCCTGGGTCTTAAAGTAAATGTTCTGAAGTCAAAAACTTGACTTGTTATCACAGAGCAATTACTGATTCTCAGAGGGTAAGAGTTCTTTTGTTGCAGGATCCCAGGGTACTTTGTCCTTAACTCAGTGCTTCACTTCTTAGGCAACTACCTCATGAAAGTGTCTCTTTGCTAGGGCATGTGACAACTCTTGATACCTCAGACTGATGTTTTCTGTACTTTTTATCTGTTTTTTGCTCTGCACCCTTGCTAGAAGCAGGTTGACATTTCCTCAAGATGCAAGGAGGTACTTCATGTGGTGGCAGCTGTGTCTCCAGGGCCATGCCCTTTATGTTACTCTGCCATGACAAGTAGGGATATCAGTATATTCTAAAATACTACCCGATTTTATTGCATCATGGTTGAATTTCAGGAGAAGCAGCAGTTATGTGCCAGTGCTCTGGAGATCTGGTCCATTTTGAGGACAGAGCTTTCATGCTTTGCTTGTGAGTGATGACAGTCTAATATAGCTTGGGAGAGATCCTCTGTTCTCTCAAAGCAACAGTTGCCCTGATAAGTGTTGGGGGGGGGACACACAACTCTCTGAAGTTCACACGTGTCAGTCCTTCAGCTCTGATAGATGAGCTGTCTTGCAGTCCTTAGTGAGAAGTGGAAAATCTGCTCTGGTGGCTGTGTGAATTTTTTGAAAGGTTGCACGGCTGACACAGAGAGTATTGATGCTTCTTTTTCAGAGAAGGTTTGTGTCCAGGCTTGGCCTTGGGTACCACCTTGAGATTGGCCAAGTGGACTGGTGCATGTGTTTCTCCAGATACTGCTGCCACCAGCCACTGTCATTAGGGTAGGGCAGGACATCATAGAATCACAGAATGGTTTGGGTTGGAAGGGACCTTAAAGATCATTGAGTTCCAACCCCCCTGCCCTGGGCAGGGACATCTCCCACTAGAGTAGGCTGCTCCAAGTCCCATCCAGCCTGGCCTTGAACACCTCCAGGAATGGAGCATCCACAGCTTCTCTGGGCAACCTGTTCCAGTGTCTCACCACCCTCACAGGAAAGAATTTCTTCCTAATATCTAATCTAAATCTCCCCTCTTTCAGTTTAAAACTGTTACCCCTCGTCATCCTGTTGGCTCTCATTTTCCCAGAGTGACCTGTTTCTGCTTAGTATTCCCTTCCAATCCTGTTGGCTCTCATTTTCTCAGTGTGACCTGTTTCTGCTTAGTATTCCCTTCCATTGCATGGGTTTGGAGCCTGGGCTGAGTCAGGGGAGAAGTTCAGCTTCTCCATTAGCTCCCTTGCCGTTCATTTTGGGTTATCCTGTGCTCATAAGTAAGCTCTGTGGATGGAGGGTGGTGAATTTAAGCTTTTGTTACCCTTTCAGCTTTTCATTGAGGTTTCCTCCTGCTGAGGAAACAGTACTCCAGAAGGCTTTAAATGTAGTAGCACAGGTTCTTATGAGTCATTGAACTGTTGTGTGGTTTTTTTTTTTCCCCCCTTTCTCTCTCAAAAGTGACTTTCTTTCTTTACTGTTATTTTTGCTGTAAGTGTGGGTTAAATTCAAGCCGTTATGCTTGATTTTTCTTGTGCTTCATCAAAGATTCTGTTGCCTGGACACAGCTGAAGTTTTTTTTCCAAAGCTGGTATTTAAATTTCACCGTAACCAGATGATTAATGTTCTTCCATACTGAACATCTCCGTGGTTAATTGTGTGATTCTGCAGACACTGAGGGAGGAAGGACGAGGTTAAGGGGAAGCTGAAATGGCACTGGTTGTGCTGCCCCTTGGTCACGAGCTGGGTGTGAAAAGGCAAGGGATGAAATCCAGACCATCCACAGATACTGTAAAGGGTGGGAATGGGCTTTGACTGAAGTCAACTTTATTTCTTGAAGTGAACTTCCTTGCACAGACAGAAAGTTCTCTCACTTGAAGTACGTACGTGGGCATACGTACTCCCACAATGGGAATGTACATATGGGCTGCATTCCTTCAAGAACCCTGTTTACCAGTCATCCTTTTTCTGTTTTGCTTTTCACATATGTCATATAGTCAAATGGTGCTCAGGCAGCTCCATGGGTGCCTAATGATTTAGGTACCCTCTGCTGCCTTAGAGAGCAAGGCAGGGGTGCTCCTTCACATGGAATGTTTTGGTGTGGAAATAACCCAGCCTGAGGGGGGACCATGCCATTTAAATCTTTTCTGGCAATACTGCTGGGACTATCCTAAACTGCAGATCCATTTCCTAGGGCAGATCATTCAAACTGTTGCCATGTTTGATATAGTTAATAGATTGGTACTACTTAATTTGTCCCCAAACTTAGATTTGACTTCTAATAAACACTTTACTGGTGCTTTTTTGTCTGTAGCACAGGAGTTAAAAGTGAGGGAGGGCTGTTCACACCAAGATAGTTTCTGGATTGCAGAGACTAATTTCCTAGGGCAGATCATTCAAACTGTTGCCATGTTTGATATAGTTAATAGATTGGTACTACTTAATTTGTCCCCAAACTTAGATTTGACTTCTAATAAACACTTTACTGGTGCTTTTTTGTCTGTAGCACAGGAGTTAAAAGTGAGGGAGGGCTGTTCACACCAAGATAGTTGTGTGTTTTTTTTTCCAGAAAACACAGCACTAAGCTTTGAATTGTCTTCAAAGCTGGCTCTGTTCTGAAGACACACTTTGTTTTCTTTGTTAGGTGTATTTTTTCTGAGCTGTGACAAACAAAGGAAAGGAAGGATTTTTTTTGGTGACTGAGTCCTATCACTTCATCTCTGGACTACAGTTATTCCTGAGGATCCTTTGGGGACTAATGGCTCGATGGACCTAAACAACTAGAGTGCACAGTCTCCCATAACATGTATTTGCTCTTCTTTTTTACCATAAAGAAGACAGTTTGGCCTTAGATCTGCAGTTTTCTTTTTCCCCATGGTAAAGAGAGGCACAATGAAATAGGTAGCTTAGAGTCTGTTGGTTTTTTAGGTTTTGGGGTTTGGTTTTTTTTAGGTTGTGCAAGCAATGTAGCATTTCTTGTGCTGCAGTATCCTGGCTTTCTAATGAATGGCTCTCTAATGATGATTGTGGATTTGCCCTCTGATTCATAGGTGGGATGGCACAGCATGTAGAGCTTGAGTGCCAGAGCACTTGATTCAGCTCCACGTTCTTTGTGTCACAGAATACAATAGCAATACTGCTTTTATTTCTACCACGTGTAACTCTTCTGAACGTTTGAATCCCTCATTGTCAGTATATAGGACTTAGTTTTGTCTGAGCTATTCAGTCTTTTGCCTTTGGCAGGTGTTTTGCAGACCTGCAAGAGCTTGTAAGATCATTTCTCATCAAAGATAATACATCAGTTGTATAATTAGAACGTGCGGGCTTCAGGTTCACTAAACTTATGCTAAAATGGGACATGAGGCCCAGCCAGCTAATGAACAGAATGAATATATTGAACACAGAAACCCTCCAGCTCCTATGAAAATGTGCCAAAGAACATTGGGTACCCTATTTTTAAACACATGCATGCATACGTACTGTGGGGTTTTTGTTTCTTTACTTTTTTCTCTTCTGCTTTTGTATATTTCTGAATCTTTACTGTACAGCCAGGTAGGCAGGTCTAACGGTCCAGCCATTTCTGCTCCCTGCTTGCATCCCTTTATTTCAGAACTTGGTGACTGTCTTTTCATCTTGGAGGGTTTTTTCTTGTTCAGTGTCATGACGTCAGTCATTAAACCGCACTGAAGTTTTTCTTTCTCTTCAATTAAGGAACAAGCTAAAGCCAAGAAACAAACTCCACCGTCATCTCCTGCCGCGCAGCCGACTGAGCAGAAGGCACCCTCGAGCCCAGTCTATGAGGTTTGTTAGAATTGCTTCCAGTACCTGTTTTTTGATCCTGAGCATAGGAACCGTTTTACAAAAGCCTGTATTTCCACAGGATGCTGTTTCCTACGAAGCAGAGTCTGCCTACAAGGGCTCCAGCACGCGCGAGCCAGAGTCCGGCTACAAAGCTGCAGAGTCAGACTACCAAGAAGCAGCGAGTCAGCGAGAGGCAGAATATGAACCAGAGACTGTCTATGAAGTGGCAGGGGCAGGAGACCATTACCAAGCAGGTACAGTGTTTGTTTCTGATATGAAGCCCTTTAAAATCAAGATTATTTCCTTGGGCAACGACTTAATGAATAGTTCCGCTGATAGCACTGTCCTCGTTTTCGAAAGTCTTAGTTTGATGAGACTTTCTAGATTCTCCACCAACAAACTTCAATTAGGAAATTAAGATATGGCTAGAGCAAGGTTGAAATTACTTAACTTTGCTGAGATGATGTTGGAATAACTACAGTGCTCTCTAGAGTGTCAGTTCAAAAAGCCACGGAGGGGTAACCATTTCCACGCTGTGTGGTGCAGCTCAGCTGGAGAAGGAGATTATGGAGGGGTAACCATTTCCACACTGTGGTGCAGCTCAGCTGGAGAAGGAGATTAAATCTCCAGAGATGGAGATTAAATGTGTGTTGAGCCAGTGCTGGTGCTGGCCTGCCCAGCAAAAAATTCTGTCAGCTGTTCTTGGGCTTCAGAATTGCTGTGATGTGTCCTGAGCCTGTGAGGGAGTGGAGTAAAGACATCTGAAAGTAAGGATGCTGAAATTCTTTTCAATTCTCGTTTTTTAAATTTTGGACTGGCCCCTACCTCCCCTTATAGCGTGCAGCCTTAACAAGGTATTAAATAGTCTCTTACACACTGATTTTGGACTCAGTTGTTCTGCCACATTTTACAAAAGTGTTATAAGTGTGATCAGTTTTATTTTCTCCTGTATTAAATGCCTACTTGTGAACACGTCCTTTCAGGCTTTAATTTTGAGTGATTTAAGGAGAAAATCCATCTCAGAACGTACGTCAGCACTGCTGAGAACTTGCATCATTTGTTCCCTGCTTCTTCTGTGGGTTAGCAGTAGAGTTACAGGAGGAGCACTACAGAAAAGATGTGGGGTGATAGGTAGTGTGCTTCATGCTTTGAATTTTATTTCTCTCTCTCTTTAGAAGAAAATACTTACGATGAATACGAAAATGAACTTGGAATTACAGCCATAGCCCTTTATGATTACCAAGCTGGTGAGCAAAGTTCTTGTTTTTAACCTTGTCTTTGAAAGCTCTGTTCTGCACTTCTAAGTCTGGGTTTGTCCTTTGCCTTTCATCGTGTAGTCTCTTGTAGTAATAGGTGAAGGTATGAAGAATGAGGAATTTAGTGATTTAGCAATAGCATTGAGACGCTTTTGAAAACTACAAGCCACTGTTTCTGGAAATGGTGGAAGTTTTCAAAATCCATTTTAACCAAGTGTTAACGCTCTCGTTAAACCCTTGGCATTCATAGTTTAAAATCTTGACTGGTTAATGCTGAGGAGTGATCAAGGAAGTGAAGTGGTTCTCAATGGGTTAGGTCTTGCTCTGAGTTAGAAACTCACCCAAAACGCAGTAGGGAAGAACCATCTTTACGGACTGTCCCTGCCCGGTGCCCTCGGGGAGGGAGGCAGGGGACAGGGGTCGGTGTTGCTTTTGGGGAGGGTGGGTTGGAAGGTGGGATTGTAGCCTGGGCTGCCCCCGTGTCACCACTCACCCCTTCTACTCTCTCCCCAGCTGGTGACGACGAGATCTCCTTCGACCCAGACGACATCATCACCAACATAGAGATGATCGACGACGGCTGGTGGAGGGGTGTCTGCAAAGGCCGATACGGGCTCTTCCCTGCAAACTACGTGGAGCTGAGACAATAAAGACTATTGTCTGCTGGTTATGCCTTAATTCCCCAGTCAATAAATCTGACTTAATACACTACAAAAAATCATGATGCTTTTCTGAGGATGGAGGGGTATATACATATTGCTTTTATATTTAATACTTCGCTGATGCTTTTTAAAATGTTTATGCCACAGAAATCGCTAATATATTGTAACGACTACGTTCTTCACTAAGGCTCTTAAAATGATTTTCATGCATTTGGAAACGTTTCCTCTCTGCCAAATTAGCAATTGTCATAAAAAGCTTTTTTGAGGACAATTAGCTGTCTGTCGTAATATTGCATGTTTTACTCATAAGTGAGCGGATTTACTTAGTGTTTAAGTCTAGTTAGTCTTCCACTAAATGTTTTCAGCTAAGAAAATCATGGCTATGCAGGTTACTTGCATTTCCACTAAGCAGGAGTGGGGAGGACTGGGGAAGTGCATAATATTTTCTCTTTTTTTTTTTTCTTCCAGATAGTGTGTGAAAAAGCAAAGAGAATGCTTGAAAGTTGCAGCTAATGGCAGTTAATCAAATACTGTCCAATATTTATGGAATATTAATGTTATGAAGGAAACAGTCTGGTTACTTTTTCCTTCTTTTCAAGTTCCTTGGCTCTTGCATTGATTTTCTTTTTTCCTTTTTTCCTGCTCCTCCTGTTCCTGTTATGCCAGAGGAGGGCTGCAAACACTCTGGCACAGATTGTCCCAAATTTTCTTTATTTTTTGGGTTTTGTTTCCCCCTCCTCTTTCCCAGGAAAACTTGGAAAAGTTACTATAAAAGTGTAGTATAAAAAAAGTTTACTATAAAAGCGAGTTTCCTAGTTGTTTGAAGGGAAACTGGCATCCAAATCTGTGCATCTTCCTGCAGGAATAGTCTCATTGCTTCAAAGGGGAGAAAAGCAGCAGGATGGGATTGCTGTTGTGTTCTGTGCACGATCCCTCCTTTGTTTGTGCAGGGAGTGCCCTGCTGTGCAGTAATCACGTTTTATTTACCCAAATTTGAGTCAAGGAATGTCAATGCAAGTAATTAGATTTAAAACCCATGTAAATGATCTCAATTTTTAAACCATACAAGAGACAACTCTACTTTTTTTTGTACGTTCAACAGGAACTGCCAGTAATGTTCTGCTAAACAACAACAAAATTAAACCCATTTTTTGCCAAAACCTGAAATTCTTGTTGTTCTAGAAAAAGCTGACTTCACTGCAGATTTAGGGTCCCTACCAAAGATAGCAAGTTGTACCTACTAGTGCACGTGTTTCAATGTACGTACTGTCTGTTTCCACCTTCTGATCAAAGGGGAATGGGGGAACTGCTGTAGCAGCTAAGAAAGAATGCAAAGAATTCTTATAAACTGTAAATTTGGACCAATGGAATACAGAAGACCTGTATAAAATGGTAAAAATATATAAGGTATCTAGGAAGAAGGCATCATGTTGAACCAATTCTTGGATGGTTGGGACAATCCTTAATGAATGTCATATGTGTGTCATGATTATTTTATTATTTTTTTTTCCCTTTCCATGGTCTCAGTTCTGTGTTGTATTTGCATTACTAGGGTTGGGTTTTATATGCAGTTTATTTTATCCAATTTTGCATAGAGCACCTCATAGGGAATATGATTTTTTTGTAAATTAAATATCCAATAAACTTTTTGAACCATTTGCATGGAATATTTCTGTATTTTTTAAATTGCTTTGTCAGGCTGTTAATGGGGAGCTTATCTTGTCTCTCAAGCTTGTTTGGGATGAGTTTGTATCTGAGGGATCGTCCTTCCTACGGAGAAGCTGCTGCACGATGCTCAAAGGGCCCCTGCAGTCAGGTTGTTGCCACCTTCCACGTCCTTCCCTTCCCCACAAACCCACTCCCTTTGTCTCTTTGCCAAGGGCCCCTACAGTCAGGTTGTTGCCACCTTCCATGTCCTTCCCTTCCCCACAAACCCACTCCCTTTGTCTCTTTTACTCCTACTCCCATGTGGAAATATTTAGATCAAAATTAGACCTTGGGTGAACGTAAGGGAGAGATGGCTTTTTTTGTTTTAAATACCATGAGCTGTGGTCTTGGTGAGAAGAGTTGCTCCTGGCTTTTGGGAGCAGGATGCTGGTGGCTGCAGGAGGACACAGGGCTTTGGAAAACATGGCCATAAATATTTAACATCACTTTAAAGCTGTTCTGCTCTCACTCACCTTCCTTAGGCGAGGTGCTCCTGTAAAGAAGCTGTCTAATTAACCCTGTATTTTACAGTTTCTAATCCTCAGATCGGAGAACCTGATACTTGACAACGCGCTGCTGGAAATGCCAAGGAAGAAAAATCTTAACACCCTTTTTCCTAATTATTCTTTAACGCTGCTGTGTTAACAGGAAACCCAAAGCTTCAGAGCTCACTGCCACGAGTCCTAAAATAGCGAGCGAGAGCCTTTGCTTTAGCAGATCCCTTAAAAACACGCGGCCTGAGAAGAAAACGTGCATGTTCAGGTAGGCTTTCTTCCTGAGAGGGGGCACCTGGGGGGGATTATTATTATTATTTATTATTATTTATTATTTATTTATTATTATTATTTATAATTATTAAAGCTTTGTGCCACTAAAGGCATTTTGAGGGGCTGGTGTTGGGGGGGAGAGGCAGCATGAGCAGGTAGGGTGGGGCTATGTGAAGGGTGGCTTCTGCACTGAGGCTTTTTGATGGTTTTTTGGGTGAAGGTAGATGGGTTGTGGCTGCAAAGCCTGTGGATGAGGGGCTACTGCTGCCACCAAAAGGCAAATGGGCCCCCGAGGAGGTTGCCACAACTCCCTGCCGGGCAAGAGATGAGCTTCTGGCAGGGAGGAAAAAGGTCCAAGGGAAAGGAGAAATGGCACCGTGTGGGAACTCGCTGTGGATCATCCATAAACAGCTTTGTGGGGAAAATTCTACACTCCTGCATCCATCTCCTGTGTCAGGGAGTGAGAGCAGGAGGAATTAAGTCACTGGGAGAACAAGTTAGGGGATGCTTTTAGTAATAGTATGGGTATTAAGTCTTGGGAGCTTATTAATGGATTGCTTTACCTGATAGAGAAAGTTTCATCTCCAATTTAAACTACTAACCTCACTATCAGGATGGTGTGTATTAGATTGAGTCAATCTCTTGTCAGTATATTCGGGTAGTAGCATTATGACTGTGCTGTTGCTACTCTGAGGTTAGACATAGTCAAGTCTTGATGGCTCTTACTCATCAACAACGATTGCTCAAGTTCTCCAAACACTCCTGGAAAACACCACCCCAAACTCAGCCCTCCTTGCGGGGAATGATGCGAGCAGCCTGTTAATTTATGTTAATAGGTGTCTTACTGATCCACTGGCTGGCTTTGGGTGAGCTGTTTGCTTTCCTGGCACCTCGAATTGATCCTGTTGTGCTCAATGCACACCCCGGTGTGGCTCCCAGGTGCTGGGGCTGCAGCTGGCAGAAGGGACACTGATTTTACTCCCTGCCTAATCAGCTGAGGATTTTACACTTCTGAGTGCCATTCTTCTGCATTAATTACAATTAAGCACATAGTAAGAATGCTCGATAGAGTGGTTTTATATATAAATATTTCATAGCATTTTATAATATTTCATTTGCCTATTTCTATAATCATTGCTAGCCACAATAATGGGAGGAGACAGTTTGAAAAGCGGCTGTGTGGGAGGTGGAGAAGTTCTGGCAGACATGAGATACCCTTGAACATCTTGCATGGCCACGATGGTGCAACAGAAACTGCAGTTCCCTTAGATCACAGAATGCTATGGTGTTGGAAGAGACCTCTGGAGACCATCCAGTCCAACCCCCTGCCAGAGCAGGTCCACCCAGAGCAGGTTGCAGAGGAACATGTCCAGGTGGGTTTTGAATATCTCCAGAGAAGGAGACTCCACCACCTCTCTGGGCAGCCTCTGCCAGGGCTCTGCCACCCTCACAGTGAAGAAGTTCCTCCTCATGTTTACACGGAACTTCCTATATTCAAGTTCTTGCCCATTTCCTCTTGTCCTGTCACTGGGCACCACTAAAAAAGATCTCCCACTGCAGGGCTCCAGGGGCTGCCGACAGAGCGCAGGGAGAGTTCCGTGTCTTACAAACATACGTTAGTCCCACTTTGTGCCTGAGGATCTTCTCATGTTAATTGTAGGTAGCTAATTGCCTTCTTTTTACTCACTGAAGAAATTGCCTGAATTAGCTCAGCCTTTCCTGCCAGTTTGGCAGCAACTTTGCTCTCGTGGGGGAAGAGCTCTTGGCCAACGCTGGGTCCCTCTTCCGACGCCGGTGTCACTGACCGACTGAGCAGAGGCCGGCTGAAGGAGGAGGGCCATGAAGCAGCACAGGGTGAGCATCTCAAAGTCATTTCCAGAGCCTGGCAGAGCTTTACCATTGCATTTCTTGGATGCATTTTATCAAACCTCTCCTTAAGCTGCTGCTTTATTTTTAGTCTGCACAGATGGCAGGCTTTAGAGGATGGTGAAGAATGCGCCCGCATCATCCCATTTATTTTATATAAAGCCTTGAAGCTGTGGAGCAGTTTGGTAGGTTTTTATGTGCGATGGGCCATTACCAACTTGTTAATTTTGACTAGATTTTCAATAGCAAGAATCAACCTAACTGGGTTTTGACTTTTAACCAGGGAAGGCGAGCGGGAGGCAGGGGAAATTCAAAGGGAAGCCCAGGGAAGTTGCTGAGAAGAGGTGGTTTGGCTCAGATAAAACACACACCAGCAACATGGCTTAGTGCCTGTGGTGTGTGAGGCCCCTGCAGTGCTTTTTTTCCTGAACCTGGAAGGTCGACTGTCACAATCATCTCGGCGTATTCTCATTTTTTAAGTCCCTTTTCAATCAAGTTGAGCGAATGCTGGTTACCAAGGATATTCATCTGAAGCACCCACTTTTAGATGAGAGCTTCTGCAAACGCAGGCTGAAGGCACCTATGATTTTCTGAGAGACTCCAGCCTGTAATTGGAGCTTTCAAAGCGCAGCCCACAGGGGTTTCATACACAACCAGCGAGTCCATTCCTTGTAGCATGAAGTTCAAGAGCTTCTGCCACCTCCTGCAGTTAGGATTCACCCCGCTGAGGGCTATCTGCATCCTAGGGGGATGTGGAGCCTTCAAGATTCAGGCTGTGATAATGTAGACATATTGTTGACTGCTTGTCCATATCTCAGCATCGAGAGGATGCTAATGATGGGCTCCTTAATTTTTTTTTGCTAAATTTGAAGCAGCTTCCTCAAACCCTCCTCACGTTGAACGCGCTGCTCCTACCGTGATTTAGAGACGCTGCTGGAAAGTGAAGTTGGTGGAAGGGAAATGGATGTATTAGTCCATGGAAAGAGGAGAAGAGGAGAAATCGATCTCAAGTGCTGCCTTGGATGCCTTCCAGAACAGGGATTTGAATTGAGCAAAATAGCTTTCCTTGACACATTTGTCCCAGAATCTGGGAAGCTCAAACAGAAAAGGGGCGATGCATCTGGACAGACTGCCTGGAAAGCACCACGCACACAGCAAGGGAACCTTTCCAAGAGGTGTGTGCTGCTCTGGTACACAAAATCACAGCTTAATTCCCAATTTTGGGTTCCAGCTGTCTGGGGCAGCGCAGCATCATGCACAATTGCAAGATGTCAGAGATACCCACAGCTCCAAGCTGAAGAAGGTTAATGGATTATGGAGACGGGAAGCTCCACTGCAAGAGGAGCCTTAAGTGAAGGATAAACTTCAGGCTGGGGCCAATGCAGGAGCTGGGGCATCACTAAGAGTCTGATTGAATTTATTTTCATTTTGAAAAGTTTGTGAGCCTATGTCTACAAAAGCTTTAGAGAAATTACACAATTTGCTTTCTTGCCTGTTTTGGCAATGAGGCCAAAGAGGTTAAATAATACTACTGTTGCTCAGACTAGCTGCGAAAATACCAGGTAAAAAGCCTTATAGCTTTTTATTAATAGCAATTTTCCACATTGTTTTCAGCCTAGTAAAGCTTTCACCGAAGGATTATTAGAACTTTTTAACTAGATAAAGGAATATTTTGTTTCAATGACATCCATGGTTGCAGACCAGGCCAGGAAGAAGTCAAATATAGGAGCTCACACTGGAGGCACTGAAGCAGGAGTAAGTATGATGCCAGCATCCACCTTGTGCCTGCATCATTCCTCTGCACGGAAAAATGTTAAAAAATAATTTTTTGGGGTGTATTAATCCTCAAAATATTAAGCTTCGGGGATGACAATAGCCTAAAAGAGTCCATAGTAATTTTATAGCTCTATGGAGTGCTCGATGAGTGTTCAAGTTCAGCATAAGTTACTGAATGAACGAATTACTCCCCAGCAGCTGGCTTATTCAGTGGCATCAGAGCTACTGTGCCAGCCCACAGACTGTTTCATGGCCAGTGGCAGAGGTTCCTTACCCAATGAGGGAATGGGCATAGCTTTTTGGGCACTCACAGGATGGTTCCTCCTGTTAACAGCCTGCAGAGGGTCACCCCCGGGGAAACAACATAGCTCTTGGCAGCGTAAGGTAGGACCTAAATTGCAGCTAAAGCAATTTCATTTGCCTTAGAGCAAACTTGTCACCCTGAGGCTTTTCTTTGTTATAGGTGCTGCTGGGTCCCGTGTGCCTGGTGTCCTAAAGCAACTTCATTTGCCTTCATTTGCCACTTGTCACCCTGAGGCTTTTCTTTTCAT